TTTACTTTCTGATGTTTTCAGTTCCAGAGACAGTTGTAAGCACTGTGTAACTGCCTCGAGGGTGCTTGACCATTTTAACACAACGTAGTGCGATGATCCCCCGTGCGCGGAGTGAGGGTTCTCCACCCCGCACAACATGATCTACTCGACCACCATTATGGTTACCGCCAAAAAAGAAAAACGGAGGTAAAAGAAAAAAACGGTAACCTGGTTGCCGAGTTCACGAAGTGAATTGGCTTGTTGTACAACGTCTTTGCCAAGCGACGAAAACCCAATCCCGATGGCAAACACCGGGGGGGGCGGCTTGTTTTACAACGTCGTTGCCAAGCGACGAAAACCCAACCCCGATGGTAAACACCGGGGGAGGGAAATAGCAAGGGGGGGGGTCTTTCTAGCGAGCAGGGCTAGACTCACCCTCAAGGGACCGATACCTTCTTGCTGCGGCGCACCCGCCGCGAGGCGTGCGTAGTGGTGGAGTTGGGTCGGCACTGGTGCGTCAGGTACAAAGGTGCAGATGCGCGGGCCTCCAGGCCGTCGGTGTAGGCAGCAATGCCCATCTCATCTTTGTGCGCGGAGGCAGACGTCATCAGAAAGGTGGACGGGCACTATGTACACGGCCCTAGGTTTGCTAGAGGGAGCTGTACTGTCTCAGTAACCTGGTTTTGCCATCAAAGGAGGAGGGGACAGGTGGTGACGAGCTGATTGGGCTGGTTGACCCTTCGGCGCGAGAATCTTCCGACCGAGAACCCTAAGTGCGACGAGGGAGAAAGCGAGGAACCGACTGGGAAGGACAGCAACGAGAGCGTGTACGAAGCGGAGCGGGTCGAGTTTGGTCGTGCTAGGACTGGCCACAGCGGCACCGGAGCAGCGGCACCGGAGCAGCGGAACCGGAGCAGGCGGACGGCATCGAACCGTGGCGCACGGACAAACATCTCTCGTGTTGTCAATCTTTTTCCGTTTATTCCTTACCATAGGGGTTGGGTGTGTGTGATGACGTCAGTCACTGGTTTTGTAGAGAGACGCGGCCGAGATGGCGCGGATAACCCGGGTGCCTTATTTGTGTACCTTCATCGTAGAAGACCTTTCAATGTGGAACGATTCCTAGTCAGTGTCGATGTTTACACTGATGTGCCTAACACAGATGATCTCGATAGATTCGGGTAATCGTCAATTGCAATGATGGCTTTGGTTGGGCGTTCTTCTTCATTGTATGTTCNCGAGATGGCGCGGATAACCCGGGTGCCTTATTTGTGTACCTTCATCGTAGAAGACCTTTCAATGTGGAACGATTCCTAGTCAGTGTCGATGTTTACACTGATGTGCCTAACACAGATGATCTCGATAGATTCGGGTAATCGTCAATTGCAATGATGGCTTTGGTTGGGCGTTCTTCTTCATTGTATGTTCACGGGCGGGCTCATTCTGAGAGCACTTCAGACAGCAGCTCCATGCCCCGAGCTTGTGTACCATGCACCATGGTGTTATTATTGTACAGACAGCACTTCAGACAGCAGTACGCTGTAGTCGACAAACATTCATTTTGGTTAAATGCGGGACAAGGGGGGTGATGCTGCTGCTGTAGTCGATATGTAGTGTGTGGGCGTGTAGTTCAGTTGTGAGCACGCAAACGTGCTGCAGGGATTGCAGGTGTACCTCCCCGGGCTTGCGTACCCTTTCCTTGCTAATAGTGTGTGTGTTCTTCAGATCTTCTGATGGCTCTAGCATTTTTGTGACCACGGACCGAGTCTTTGCTAGATTTTGGGATTAGCAACTGACACGAGTTAATGTGAAGAAAACAACAACAACAACAACCTCGAAACCTTCTAGAGGCCAGGTCAGGGGTTCGAATCCCGGCGTAAGGGAGCTTTTCTTGCAAAGTGAGTGTTTCTCTTGCTTCCGCTCCTGGCCTAGTGGATAGCGCTAGTTCGTGTGTACACAGAGGGAAGAGAGTGCTGAACTCTTCGCGCATTAAAAATCAAAGGCAAAGTACCGCAGGAGGGGAGGGGAGAGAGGGNGTGAAGAAAACAACAACAACAACAACCTCGAAACCTTCTAGAGGCCAGGTCAGGGGTTCGAATCCCGGCGTAAGGGAGCTTTTCTTGCAAAGTGAGTGTTTCTCTTGCTTCCGCTCCTGGCCTAGTGGATAGCGCTAGTTCGTGTGTACACAGAGGGAAGAGAGTGCTGAACTCTTCGCGCATTAAAAATCAAATGCAAAGTACCGCAGGAGGGGAGGGGAGAGAGGGACTCCTCTGTGTGACCACGGGTTGGAGTAAACGGCACTATTATAGTGCCGTGAGCGCTGATTTGAAGTGAGAACAAAAAAAAAAAAATGTCGAGCTGCGTTGGGGAGCAGATGAGAAGCTCACCGACAACGATGGAGCACCCTACAGATTGGACGAAAGATCCGGAAGAGAACGGCAACAACGATGAAGAAGTCGAGGCTGGCAACCAGCGCATTTGCTGAATGCTGCGAACCGCTCCAACCCATAGGTCATAGCGTCGCCGCGGCTTGCTGGTGTTGAATCGTTCCTGCCCGACCAAGGTGCACATCGGGAGGCCGGGGTTTGTCGTTGAACGCTGCGACTTGTGTCCAGTCCAGAGACAATAACCCCAAGAAGCACAGGTAGCAATGCCGTAAGCTTAGGGCATGACTTCATCGAAGACACGTACACCAAGGCCCTGCTGAAATGGGAACATGAACACCCGTCCTTGCTAACGGAGCGTCACAGGGAGCGCCTGACGAGGGCGAAGCGATATGCAGGTGTGGTGCTAGCGGTGTTGGCGATTGCGTCCATGATGGTCCGCGATTGTTCCCAGAAGTTTATGTTGGGGCAATGATTTGCAGTGATTCCCGAAAGTGGGTTATGGGAATAGACCTGGGAACCATATTTATGACCAGGGGGGAGCAAAGGGGTCACCAACAGCTTGGTTCTGCAAGTACTGCAGAGATCGCGCCAAGAGGGCGCGTAAGAAGGAGAAAGAGAGGGAGGGCGCTAATCAGGCTACTGCAGCGATTCTAATATTCTTCGGTGAACGCTCTTCACCTTGTATGCTGCCCCTGTCGCAGGGGCAAGTCCACCTAGTCGCCTGAAACACAACAACTCTGTTCGATTATCTAACAAACCAAACACAATACAGACACTACTAGCTAAATATTGTCGTCTCTGACAGATCATGTCCATTGCATACTCTCTAAAATCGCCTGCGGTGCGAGAACGTCGAATACTTGTGCACCCGTACCGCACCGGTGAATGTGTTGCATGTAGAGTCTGCACTGCAGCTCGTTCGTTGGCTGAACAACTCGACTACTCGTTCATGACAACCTACATGAATCTCCTCCCTATGCATAGAACATTCAACACGCCCGATCAAAAGGTATTTCTATGAATTCGGCGTGGAAGCTTGAGCTTCCCCACCGGAATCATCAGGTTAGACCACTGTTTATGGCAAAAAAATCTTGATCTTCCTTTCTTTCGACAAATGTTGACTTTTTCGACCTTTTGGGCAGTCTGCCTCCCGAACGAGTTCGAATCAGCTGTTCGACCTTTGAGAACAGTCACGGCTTTGGCTGAGATGTCTACAGATCGCCTACATGTTTCGCCAGGGTCCACGTTTGATTTTTTCAAGGTGCGCAATTTTCACGCAAGATTTCTCCAACACCAGCTTTTGGGCAGATCTTGGCCCAAGATTTGCTCCGAGGTGGCCTTTCGGCCGAAACTTCAACATGTTGCTCTGCAGGAAAAAAATCAAACGTGAACCCTGGCGAAACATGTAGGCGATCTGTAGACATCTCAGCCAAAGCTGTGACTGTTCTCAAAGGTCGAACAGCTGATTCGAACTCGTTCGGGAGGCAGACTGCCCAAAAGGTCGAAAAAGTCAACATTTGTCGAAAGAAAGGAAGATCAAGATTTTTTTGCCATAAACAGTGGTCTAATGATGAATTCTGCCCATAGCATATCATTCGTCGTCGTGGCTTGTTGATGATGGGTCCAGGTTGTGTCGACGAGGAAATCCCGTCCCAACGTTCGTTGTGTATGTATGTGCTTCAGAGGCTGACGTAGTTCCTGCTTGTGCGTGTGTGTCTTGTATGTTTGGCCGTGCCTCCGAATTTCAACTGTCCTGTTTTCAAGATGGTACTGTAGTCAATACGTGTACCACGATCGACCTAAGCACGCTGTCCGACAGATAGATGCCCATGCGTGGGAGCGCTTGAGATCCTGCTCTTGAAACGTTGTGCACTCCACGCACGCCAGCGCTGGTGATGTCCTTTATTTTTCCGTCTAGGTGAAGGCCTTGGACCTCGACTTCTCTCAACAGCATCCTCATTGTATTGAAATCAAAGTTCTTTGATCCGGAACATCATCCTGCCGAAGACGCTCTTTCTCCTAGACAATATTTGGTGACTAACGCTAACGCTACCCCACCGACCACTGTTGAAATAACTCCGATGCTGATGTCCCTCACGAAGGTGTCATCCGAATCACCATCTGTACGTGGCAGCCGAGAAAAAGATACATGCACACAAGAGTGGGCACAGTGATCGGACACAGATAGCTTCAAATCCCTCTCACAACACCCTTGACAACGACGTAGCTGAATTTTTCACTCTACCAAGCACTTCACCAAGAACGGTGACTAGTTCCTGTGAGACGCCAATCAGAATCTAGTACAACAGTCGTTGCGTCACATGCGCCCCATCAAGCATACCTTCGGACGATACTGCAGGCGTGACTTCTACTGGAGATGGCGTAGGTGCTTGCTCTTGTGGTGACGGTGTCGGCACATCTAAAAGTGATGGTCAGGGGTAGATTGACCATGCGAGGGGATCGGCGGCTGAGATTGACAAGGAAGGGACATATAGTTATCGTAGGTTATGGGACTACTTCTCAAAAACTACGTAGATGGATTGCCTCACGACCCCGGTGGTGATATCTGTTTCGCGGAGCGACACTCAGCAGTTGACCAGCGAGTATGGAATCAAGGCGGCATAAGAGCAAACCAAAGTCTTCCGTTGCCGATTTCAAGACCAACCGGATGCAGGGGGTATGGAGAACACAAATCAGAGAGGTGAGAGCTCAGCGACATCGACACCTTCACCAACCGAGGTCATTACGCTTCAGCCCACCTTCTGTGCACTCCGAAGGCGAACTAGGATCGGCGCAGTCGTAGCCATTCACGCCACAGTGACTCTCCAGGGTTGACTCGCAGTCGCATTCGCAACAACTGACGCAATCCGCCAGGACAGGGGGACGACAGAGTGGGACAACGGTGCGGGTGGGGGGGTTTGAGGACGAGGGAGTTGCCGGACAGCTTAAAGATCAACACCTTGCTTTCGTCTCAGCTTCATCGCGCAACGACAATAAAGCGTTCCGACCAACCCAGGAGATATTTCACTCATCAATGCACTAATCGCGTAACTGGTTCGTTTGGTTCGCCGCTTGTGTGCGTACGACAACACTTGAAATCCACTCCCGTGGGAGAGCAACTTACTCTCCTCCATCGTAGCCGCATTCTTCGAAGTTGTTGCCTGCGTGCGCGCGTGAGCAGGAAGGGGGGCACCGGTTGCCAACATGGGTGGAGCGGTCGCTCTTGAATACGCCATCGCAAACACATACAAACCACTGCCATTACGGGCATGTCCACGAAGTAACATAAAATACGTAGTCTAAGGTTGGTACTCGACAAGACCTCTGCATGCCAAGGACTATTAGAAAGTTGTGACCGGTTTCGACGTCTTGGAGTTACAACAGAATGGGATTTCTGCGAGGAATATGCGACAATAAAGTGGACAAGAGCTTCGCTCGGCACTGGTAAGTGCAGCATAGCGGTGTTGCTCGGCTAGAAAGGAGTGAAAGCCGAGCACGTGCAAAGTTGCCCTTGAACTGAGCACAACACCCAAAACATGGTGAAACAGCCCTCCCTCCATGAGGTGGCCAACGGTATCGCTCTCACAATGCACTTTAACCTGTGGATCCCTGCCATACTCCTACTGTGAGTATGAATGTATGAAAGGGAAGCACGAGCCGACCGAGTCGTACAACGTTCCACCACCTCCGTGCACGGCCTTGAGACGCACGCGTCACATCGACTAGACTTTTGTCTCTTACAAGCTGAGAAGCACAGCGGATCGAACAACTGAAGGTATCATACATCAACGCTCACCCCAGTAGCAGGCCCCGTTTCCGATCCATTCCAGCGTTCCGCCTCTTGAGACGCAATCAGGATACAGGTCTGCACAACACGAACGATAAAGCATGGGTGAGCACAGAAGCGGAAGACGAAGACATACCATGCGGCATCACGTGGAACAAGACGTAGAAGCACGAGTGCACCACAGCCTAACCCTAATCCTAGCTGCTGAAACCGCAAAATGATTATCATGCTGGTGTTGGACAATCTATCATGTAGCAGCCCTTCCCAGCATGCCTCAAGCACTGACCGACGTAAGATACATCATAAGCGCCTAGTGGTGCAGGTCGAGTCAACGCTGGCCCGCTCAAGCACCCTGAAAGAACCTCATACAAAATCGAGGACATGACAGAAAACCCACGAGAAGTTGAGCAAAAAAAAAGATGCAGCGAAGACATACCACGAAAAGACTGGAATTATGAAGTGAAACACGTATCGTGCTGTCAGGAAAAACAGAGGAAAAGGAGTTGGAAGTAGGATTCCGATACATGCTTGTCGACACCACCAACCTGTGCTTCCTACATACCTGTGATAAGTGACGTTGGGGGGGAACCAACATAAATGGCCCATGTCACGATACTACACAGAGGAAGTAGGTCGGCAACGTCACGGGTGAATACAAAACCATCCACTCTTGTGCCCACCTTCGAAGCACTCCGATGCGGGATCCACGCAGACGTATCCGTTGGCCCCGCACGTGAAATTCGCCGAAGAAGAAGTCGACGACGACGAGTCTAAGGACGTACCAAACGTACCGCAGTCGCACTCGCAGCAGTCCCCGCCATCGTACCCACACTCGGCGTTGTTGTAATCTGCGGAGGGGACCGTTCGGTATGGCTAGCGCCTCTGCTTGGCGTCCCTTTTGGTATGTTTCTGCATGCGGCAAAACTCATATCCAAACGCTTGATAACGCTCTTCCTGGGCAAAAGAATCCCGCAACAACCAAGCTTGCCCCTCCACAAGCATAAGGCCGTGACTTTGTGCCCGTCAGGCAAGAAAATACACCCAGATCCTTACATGAATTGCAGTAGTTGTCCCCAGGCACACTGTCATCGTAGTACGCTAGTGAAGTGCAGTTCGGGTAGAGATCTGCGCCATCGATGCACATATGCGTGGGTGGGGGTCCCAGAATGACCCTTGAAAAGTGAGGAAGCCATCTTCACGCGGTCCTGACGTTCACAGGCGGTGCGGGCACCGCAGTGGCAGCTGTGAAGAGCACGCTTTCATTCATTCAACACGGTCATTCAGCACCTCCACGTGTAGACAGAGATCGTCGAGCACGAGCATGCTTCAGAATGACAAGTGTTCTATGACCACGCCAATGACTCTGGCTGTAGCAGCCACTTGCAATATTATACACAGCAGGGTCCCGACTTCGCCAACGGGGGGGTGAGATGTAAAATCAATCAACATTTACGGTCCACGTGCCCAAAATATGGGGGTAGAACTGCAGCAAGGAATGAAAACCCAAAGCCACCTACACCAACGGTTTATCCAGAGCAAAGAAAAGCGCGCACCGTAAGGCTTTTGGGGCTTGCAACGGAGGCATACTGCCCAAGCAAACGAGCGAGACACCGCCCTCTCACCAGTAAAGTTAATGGCCAGTCGTCTGATACTAGCAAGCCCATCCTCATCTCGCGATACCACTCCTTGTTCCTGCTGGTCCAGAGAACATTGGCCGCGGCCGTCGCAAAGGACACTATCAATCCACGAATTAAAACGGGAGATATGTTTCGTAGGGAAGAAAGAGGGGAGTAGGGGGTGGTGCTTGTTGTGTTGATCGTCGAGCGCACGAAAATGGGATTGGAGTGAAACTATAACGGCCGATGAAACGTTCTGGAACAACCACCGTCTGTCATGGACCTGAAACCCTTTTTCGGACGATGGAATCGGTTTTTCTAGCCCCCGTAAATGCACCTTTCTAATCTTCACTGCGGATTAGAAGAATCATTTGTCTACACACCTCCGGCGCGCCGGCGTACTCGACCTACCACAACAACGTCTGCTGTTTTCTCTTCGTCCGCTTCCCCCTGCCGCCTGCCTGCCTCCGCTGGTACTGTTGGCCACATTTCCTCCCCCTCCAAGCCGTCGTTCATGGCATCATGCACCACCGCTGCGGCCTCCGCCGCCGAGCCGCTTCTCGCTGAAGACATGTCCCCCCGACCATCGTCTATCAACGACCACGACGTCAGCAGTGGTTCCTCAGGGTCTGAGGTGTACAACGGGTAAGGGTGCATGAAAAAATCCTGCGCCACTCTCATCTTGTTGCCAATCAACCACTTTTCAATCCGATCAGTCACCATTTGTTCCGATCAGACCGACCGTCGTTCTGCACATCCACGATGTAGGAGGGAGACAATATAGAATCGAGTGCATATGTACAGTAGCCTAGAAAAACTACCTGTTCGTGACCGAGAGACATCAGCTCGACGGGGTGTAAACGCACCCCGAAACGGCGCTTTTCGGAGTGTTGTTGTGTAGTGTTGAATGCTTCAAATGCGTTATTGTCAGGACATTGAGCATGATAACGACGTTCTAAGGTTCCGTCTACATGGCATTGGGGTTGTCAGGCCACGCGCGCAGAGATGTGTGCCGCTGCTTCTCTGGGCTCCTCAGATGTACTGAGAACTGATTCGAGGATGTGGCGTGGTGTCTTCACCAACTACCAGTTTTGGGCGCAGGCAATAAAGGCATAACTCGAGTGACAGCAGTTAGTGCTAGTGTTTCATTTCAGAAGTGTGTACTACATATACATATATCATCAAACAGGTGTGACTTGCACCACACGATGCATATCATACGTCAAGAAATCAGGGAAAAAAAAAATCCACAGTTCGGCCCTCCTGTAACGGGGGTACATAGACGTGCGGAGTTTTTCTTTCCCGTTAAGATATTGAGTAGCGTCGGGTATTCAAAACCACCCGGGTATTAGGCCAAATCTTATGGAAGGTCTGCGATTTTGCTGGAAACCACAGCATCAGGGCGGAAATTCCACGGTATCCATAGAACAGCTGCGATTCTTGAGATCAACACTTATGGTCGGTTAAAAAAAAAAAAGGATTTGGTCAAGATCCAGGTGGCGTGTGCCAGTTTTAGTTGCGCCGCCGGTAAAAAAAAAAAGTATCGCACACCGCCGCACTATTAATAGCCACCCTCTCGTCACAAGCAACACTCTCCGGCCCTCTGTCACTCTCTCAGCCTCCCGCCCTCCGTCACGATGGTAGTAGAAGCACTTCCCCTTGAACATGAGTCGATCCAACAACAAATCTTGAACCGGGG